CAAATGGTACTTTTAAAAGCCCACTGTCAGTGTAAAATAACAAAAGCAGGCTAACATTTAGAGCTTGACAGTTGTCAGTGTGCAAGTATATCCATTCTCACAACTGGTCCTCAGGAAAACACTGTAATGTGCAACAAAGATATTAAGACACCCCCCTTTTTAAAATGAGGAAGTTGCTATTCTAAAAGTTTAAATGGCTTCCCAATCCTGGTCTGTCTCAGAGATGGGATGAAGCCAGTGTTTAAACTCTTTTCTTGGAGCCTTGAAAAAAAGCAATTTTCAGGTTCAGTGAAAAGAAGTTACCCAAAAAAGCAAATTATAAACCCTGTTAGCTGGCAGCAGACATTTGGAAAGCAAAAACCGTGATTATTCAGATTAGGGTCATGGTGGATAGTGATTTTCAAACTAACTACATTAATTTTCTGACAGCATGCTCTAATTTGTATTAAAGCACCATAAGATGTCTGTCACTTAAATGTTTAAGAAAGCCAAATCAAGCAGAACATATAATGTTTCTGGCAGATGTACTTTAGACATACTAAGTAAAAGTGAAAAATGACTGTTTTGTTTATACACAGAAGTTAATAAGAAAAATATTGCTCTTAATCAACAGTTTTGTATTAAATTAGCATCAGATCTATCAGATACTTAAATGTTAGATCATTATCTCATTGAAAAGCTCATCTAGTTTTTTAATTAGTTTTTCAAATTTTGTATCTAAAATGAAATCATGAAGTGGTATGAATCTCTTCAACTATCCCCCTTTGCCTACAGATAACAAATTGAGCCTATTTTATATACATATAAATTAGAGTAATAACCAGATACCATTGGAGCACTAAAGTAAAACTAATGTAGTTAGTTTGAAAATCACTATCCACCAAGATTAAAATGAAATGCTTCAATGAAATCCTCTATGAAAACGGTTTTTGCCATAAATATAAAGTGAAACCCAAACCCATGGTTTCTTAGTATAACTGATGCAAATTCCTGATCATACAGATAATTTTATCCAAGTCACAATCTCCTTTAAACAACCCCAAATCAATAACTACTAGTGATTTAATAACCACTCCTTAAATAGGCCCAATTTGGACAGTAGGAGGAGTCATCTGGCTACTGCTGCAATAATTCCATCTTCGGGGAGTTGTAGACAGAAACTATTGTCTGTTGTAATACACAAATGACCCGCCTCATTTCCCTCTGGACAATGGAAATGTTCTCTGCAGAGTCCCAGCTGTAGCTAAGAAGGCTCAGGGGCTGCTACCATTGTTTACCAAGTGGTAGTTCACCCAGCAGCTGATGGGCTGTTGGCCCTGGTCTACATTATCTTGCCACCCAAGATTATTACAGCGGCTCTTTCACAGAGTGAATAAAGAATGGATGTGGAAAGTGGGATGTCAGGAAAGAACAGAAATGCTGTCCACTTTACCCTGCCAAAGGAAAGGGAGGAGGAGCAGGGTCCAGAAGAGGGACGGAGGAGCTGAAGCACTTCAGAGCTGCTGGGCCCTGCCTCATGGTGTCCCCGCCTCTGGGCCACACTGAGCACTTAGAACCCAGGCAGCCAAATTTAACAAAACCATTTCAGAGCCTGAAACTCAGGAGACAACCTCAAGTGAGAAACAGAATGGTAAGATTGGATCAGTGCACCGTAAAAAAAACCAAAAGACCTTCCCAGTGATCTCCCTTGGGAAATTTTTCCTCTCAAAGAATTCAATGTTATTTGTCCTTGTAGCTAGCTAGCACTGGTTTCTTTTGTTTTAAGCAAAAATAATTCTTATGAAATGACAGAGCAAAAAGAGGCAGCCCTTCCCCACACCAATCCTTGCTCACCCCACAGGACGTTGCATTTGGGAGTACACTCTTCGGGAGCAAGAGTGAGGGTGTTATGAGTGCATCACCCGTAATGTGAAAGACATGTTCAAAATAGGCCAATAAACTCGGAGTGATTAAATCCTCCTGAATAGCTTGTGGAAACAGAGAACATAATTAATACGTTCACAAAGAGCAGTGAGGTTGCCTGATTACCTCACAGCACTCAAGCAGAAACACAGTGGTGGCAGACAGGTGGGCAGGAGAAACACACCAACAACATTTTGTAGAAGTCCTCACTCTGAAACATGCTTGGGTTTGGTTTGAGAAAGAAGCAGAGGCCTGTGGGTACCTGAACTCAACTGTTTACCTTAATTTCTGAACACTTCCAAATACATCCAAGTTCACCAGAGCTAAAGGGACAACAGAATGCTTTTCTGACTGTGTTCATGAAAAATGGATTGAGTGATTTTTGCATTTTTTCTTTGAGTCACCTTGCTGCCCTTTGGTGAAGGTAGTAAAGGAATAGAAAGCAGGGTCAAGGAAAGCCCCATACAGCACAACAGAAGGCACGCACTTCTCTGTTGGCATTTGCTATTTAAAAAAAAAAAAATACAGCAGTCTGGCTAAAAAACAAGAGAATTCCACTTGAATTTCCTGATCAATAAGACATTCTCCCATGACTTCGCAGGCCTTGTTTTTCTGCTTTGTTACCCCATCGTCATTCTACCTCAGAAAGTGTGGCAGTCTTGTACAGTAATGGTGACAAAACTGACTCGGAAAAGAATGTAATACTTAATATTGTCACATTCCTCCAGAATATAGTGAGGTACAATTTCTGGGCTGGGTCTCTTCTTGTTAGGTAACATTTGAACAGAGAGATGCTCTATCCAATCGCCAGAGTTCTGGGCAGCAGTCCCTGGGAAAGCAGTAGGTCAAGCATGCACTGTTACCTACCATCTTCAGGAGTGCCGCTGAGCAACAAGAACAACAAAAAGAGGAGTTCCAACTTATAATGTTTAATTTAAAAATACCACGTGCAAAGGAATGCCTACTGCCTCTGCTCCATGAGGTCATGGATGCTCTCCTCCCAGATTTGCATTAAGTGGGCGGGTTCGCTGACCTTTGGAAAAGTCTACCAGAATTGCTGTGTGTCTTCCCCAAATTGAACTATTGTAATTTAATCTCGGGAATGACCAAACATGTAACTCACACATATATCTGTGAGTGTTCTTCTGGTCTCCTCTCCTCCTTCAAACCACCTCTGCCCACTTCTCTCTCCTGCTGTGAGAGAAAGGCTGGGAGATGGACTCAGGCAGAGTGAACAGTTGGCCGTGACATTTGCTCCACAGGAAATGGCAACTGAACATTTCCCACAAATTAACCATTGCCAGTGGGACTTATATGACCACTTCTACTCAGGCTAGGGAAGAGATGTTCATTATGGCCCTTTCACCTAAAAAGAAAATAGGGCCCCTAGGAAAAGCTAAACCCTGGGAGCACTTGGGGCGAATACAACAACTCCAAAGCAAGCAGCGAACTCTGAGCAAAGCAGCCTTGCTGGAAAGAGGATGCAGCCTAGTGCAGGGAACAGAGCAAAGGCTCTGGAGGTGGCACCACTTACCAGATGTATGACCTTGGGGAAGTCATTTAAATTGTCTGGGTCTCAGCATCCTTGCCTGTGAAATTGGGATTATAATATACCAACAACCATACCCTATGTTGCTGTGAAGATTCACTAAAATATCAAATATACTAGACAAGAGTCCAGGGTCAGACATAGTCCATTCACTGAGAAACCAACAATGTGAAAACATAAAAGCAAATAGCCAGTTACCTAGGAATGAACCCTGAAATGAGGTCAGACTGCCTACCGTAAAATCAAAGATATAATGAGTAATATCTTTAAAATATTTTCTTGTTTAGCAGTTATAACTGGCATAAACATCATTTAACCAGAAACACAGAGGGTCAGGGATTTCCCAGAGTTGGGGCTCAAAACTGAACAAGATTATCTTTCTCACCCTCAGGGAGACTGCATTTGTTGACAATTTACCAAAGTGCTGCTTTCAGAGAGTCACGCAATATAATGGCCCCTTCTCTTCAGCACCTCTGAATTTCACCCTGTTGTCTGTTACATAAGAGTAGGTGACAAAAGCAAACGTACTATTTGAAACATCTCACTCCAAGCCCTAATCTACTCTTTTCCCAGGTCTCTCCTCTGCCTCATTGTGACTTCTTCGCACACGATAAAATAACTACTGGGTTCAGTTGGTCAAGAGCAGCTCCTGATAAAAGGCTTCGCTTTAGAACACTGGGCAGTTAACTGATTCCAGTTTGCACGGCACACTTCACCACCGTTCCTCATAAAAGCCCACACCTTTGGTCCCACTGGCCAGAAACTGGGCCTCAATCAGGTAGGTTCAGCATTTGCTGAGAAAACGGTGGCAATCATGTAGCCCACTGATAAAGGAGGACCACCCAAGTGGATTGAGAGGAGATATATACCATCTTTTGACAGAAGCATGGATTTGTTTGCATCACTGGAGCTCTCCAGTAACCCGAGGATTACAATAAATTAAAACGATTGCCCTCAATATAATTACCTTTATATTCTCTCAAGGTACCTCACACCTCAATTGTCTTCACCCCCAACCACCCAACATTGTCTAAGCCCGCTGTTCCACATGCAGCACCAGCCAGCTCTCCTCCTCCGAGAAAACATGGATTCAGGTTCAGTGCCCAAAGGCTAATAAGACCAAGAGGCCATGGCTCGCAGGCCTTGCCGGAAAATACCGGCAGAGGTTGCAATTCCCTCGAAAGTGCTGGCCTGTGGAGGGAATCAAGTGGCCCCTCCTGACACGGAAAACCCGGCTCACGGACGCTTACCGAGGCCTGGGAAGCAAAACACTGTTGTCCCTCAAACCAGGCCCCACTTAAAGGACCCCTCTGCCCGTGCTGTCTGAACCCGGAGGGAGACACCGGGCGCCTGATTTTCTGTAATAACAAGAGCCTGGCCCGCCGCAGCCTCCGGAGCCAGACACAGCCGCAGGTGCGGGGACCAGAGGTCCTAGATGGGGGAGAACCCGCTCTCGCAGGTGATGGGGGTTCGATGTGCATGCAGAATGCGATGAAATCCTTCTCCCACGGCACACTGACAGGGGGACGGGCATCCGGAGAGGGAAGCAATACTTCTAGAAACAAGAAAAGCTACGTGCGTTGAGAACCTGCCTGGACCCACAGGTCTTGTTGCTCCTTCCAGAAGTTGTGGCTTAAGTTCCAAACACCCAGCGTGTTCGGGGACAGGGAAGTGAAAGGCAGAAGGGGAAAGCGCTCATCAGGACCCGGGAGGCTGGGCTCGCCGCCAGCAGACCCTTGGGGGTCCGCCTCGGAACCCCTGCGCAGCGCCCACTGCTCACCTTGAGATAGTCGTTCTCCGAGCGCAGCTCCTCCAT